AGAAGGTTATGTCTATGACCATTTCTCCTACGCCTGTAGGGACTGGCTTAGGAGATAACAAACACAGAAATGCATTCAGGAGAGTGTCAGTTTGGGCCTTTGATCTGTACAACCAGGCCCACTGTGGCAAATGAAGCATTTTTAGTGCTCCCCAGACCCTCTAAGCTGCCTGGGGAGCGGCATCTAGAAAACAATGTCCTACCACTCTCCACACGCCTGTCCAACCCATCACTCAGCACAAGGAACACAAAGTGCCTGATAGCTTGCAGCCAGGGAGCATCTGCTGAGCTGGCATTGGCTCCTGTGGGAACAAAGCCAGTGAGCCTGGGTGGGAAGAGGAGAAATCAGTCTGGATAGAAAAAAAAGAAGGCAGAGAGGTGTGGTACTTTGTTACATTAAAGACTTAACAGGCCTTTAACTTCTACAGCAAAGCACAGAGAAATTCACTGTGGAAGCATCTAGAGGGCTCTGTGGCCCAATGGTGCCTTCCTTCCTATGGAAGGAACTCATGAAGCACTCAGAAGGGATGCTCGATACAGCTAGTCCACCTGCCAATCCTCTTCCTCACTCGATGTCCCCTTACTGGGATGAGGCCAGACAAAGGGTTTTCCACTATTTTTCAGAGACTATAAAGTAGATAAATTTTTAAAAATTGACACACGGTCTCAATTTGGCTCAGGATGGTCTCAAACTTGTGAGCTCAAGCAACTGTCCTGCATCAAGCTTCTGAGTAGCAGGGACGACAAGCATGCACCACTGCACCTGAGAAGCAAATGAATCTTAATGTGAAATCTCAATTTCTACTTTTCTACTAGAAGAAAAACTATAGGGAAAATCTGCCAGATCATGTGTTCAAAAGGTTAAGTCTCAGCCAACCAACTTCCTGTCCACCAGCTTTTGCACAAATCAATCCTACAAGGTTCAGCCACTCTGGCATTCATACCACAGCTAGGTAGACGTTCACTCTTCCCCAAAACAGATTTTTTTTCTATCACCACAATTTTCCCTGGTATGATACTCTAAACCATGTACTTTATCTCCATTGGCCTCTGAGCTCGATTAGGGCACAGACTCTGTTATTTGACTTCTATTTTCAGGGCCTGGCACAGTGCCTGATAAACACAGTAATTCAGAGAATGTCTGAGTGAGTGACTGCATGAAGGAAAAAAAAAATCTGGCTTCAGTGGGCAAGAAGGTTGGTGAATGTTTAGTGCTTTTCATGAGATTACTAACAAGAGGTATCTCTATGATCGCCCACAAACAATTTATTATGACATTTATGACAGCATACCATTATGTTCTTTTCAGTATGCCCCATGTCTCCCTGTAAATTTCTTGGAAGCAGGAACTGAGTGTCTTTCACTTCGTTTGTCCACCCCTTCACCCAATTAATAAATGACTGAGTACCTAAATGAATGAGTGCTTACTGGCAAAACCATATTATAATCTCAGGTCTATCCAAATCTTCCAAAGCAAACAAAAGTTTTTTTAAAGGAAGTTCAGTCATCAGAAAAACACCGGCAGGAATTAGAGTTGGCACATTAACAAAGGACAATGTTCATATAACAACTCTCAATACCAAGTGGCAGAGAAAACAAATAGCTTTGAGGCAGATGCAGAATGGGGAAAGTGTAAACTATAGAAAGCCCATAACAAACCAGGCACTGGTGGCTCACATCTATAATCCTAGCTACTCAGGAGGCAGAGATGAGGAGGATCGCAGTTCGAAGCCAGCCCAGGCAAACAGTTTGTGAGACCCTATCTCAAAAATACCCTACACAAAAAGGAGCTGGTGGAGTGATTCAGGGGATAGAGTGTTTGTCTAGCAAGCATAAGGCCCTAAGTTCAAACCCCAGTACCGCCAAAAAAATTTGAAAAAGCCCATAACAGAGGAGATGAAAAGATGACAGCCAGGGTGGGTTACAGAATGCCAGTAGCCAAAATTTATGGATAATTCCCAGAAAAAAATCGACTGTCAATAAAAGGGCTGCACTGACATCAATGACATGGATCAATCTTGTGAGTTATTTGCTGAGCATGAGGGCACCAGAGTTCCGTGTGGAATATGTGGTAGAAGAAAATTCTGTCGTGCACAGTTATGCATTGTGGCATATGGATTAGAACACAGGCCAACAGAGGGGACAGGCACACTTTGCTTCAGAGCACAGGTTTCTCTCTGCTGCAGAGTTCTCTTATAATTAACCAATTAGGGCCATAGCTCTGTTTCCTGTGGCAGTTTTCTCTGCCATAGAGAATGAGGTCACAGCCCTAACCACACAGAACTATAAAAGCATCTGGGTGATGAAGGATAGTTTCAGATATACTTGGATCATTCCCAGGAGGTGCCTGGATACATGTGTGGTATTCTTAGCTGCAGTAGCAAGAGTTTCTCAGAGGAATTAAAGCATATCCTGACACTGGCTTTTAAGTCCCTATTTACATCCTTATCACATGCTTCTAACAAGAGATTGAATATTACTAGATCTATTAAGCAACCTTGAAGCCTGGAATAGGTCAAGCAGAGCCCTATCTGAAGTAACCAGTCATACCATTATTCAGTAGCACTAAATGTGATACTGTACATGAAAAGAACTACTTAAAAATTTATTGTGTATGTGAAAGAATTATTTAAATTGTAAGGGGCCATTCATGCTGAATAAACTATTGCTTTTATTATTACAATGATGTCAGTTTTTCAGAATTATCAAAAGTACTAGCCAGGAGCCAGTGGCTCACACCTGTAATCTTATCTACTCAGGTGACAGAGATCAGAAGGATTCAAAGCCAGCACAGGCAAATAGTTCAAGAGACCCTATCTTGAAAATACCAACACAAAAACAGGGCTAGTAGAGTGGCTCAAGTGGTAGAGCACCTGCCTAACTAGCGTGAGGCCTGTGTTCAAACTCCAGTACCACCAAGAGAAAAAAAAGTGCTTATTGGCTTTCAGAGTTCAAATCTACTAACAGAAGGGAAAAGATGTACACTAGTGCAGCAAGGGGCTGGAAGAAAGTTTATGGAATGAGTAGAAAAAAACAAATATCAGAGAAGAAACATTACTGCATTATTCTACAGATGAGTTAATTATAAAATTGTACATCTGTTGTTTTTAGGAAGACTCCATTACCACTACAAAAAACTCCCACACTCCTCTTTTCCCTTGTTTTGCAAGAATTAGAGGCTAGGGGATATTTATGGAAGCACCAAGGCATGAAAAAGATAGCTAGGTCTCTTGTTTACATGGCTCTTCAGCTGAAAGATTTAGAAGTGAAAACCAGCAGAAAGCAAAGCCTAGGACTGGTTCTTGAGGGTTTTCTCCTCCTAATCAGACACTGGGACCTTCGTTTAAATAAAAAGGGGGAGAGGCCAAAGAGTTTATGCCACAATTGGTGGATGAGTTAGACTTATGCAGCTAAGGACTAGGGGTGGCCCAAAAGCAGAGAGTGAGAAAAGAGGAACCAGGAATACTGCAAGCTCTCAAAGAGGTAGACTTCCTGGCCCTCAGTGTGTAGCTCTTTGTTAACAATCCCCTAACAAGTGTTCAGACAAAAATGGTGCAAAGATGAGGAGTCCTGCAGTGCAGGCAGGATGCAAGCTCTGCCCTTCAATGGAGATTGTGACACCCCTCAGCCAAAGGAAAATTCCAACGCAGTTGGTTAGGCTGGGACAGCATCTCTGCAGTTCTCCTCTCTGTGTCAGGAACAAGGCTGGGACATAGGGCCAGAACTGGGGAAGGTTCTAAGGCAGGTCACGCTGCAGGACTTCTTAATTAGAAACAGGAATCAAGGAAAGAGTCTGTAGTGCAGCTGTAAAAGAAAATCTTATACACAGATTCATGAGAATGGCTACACCTGGGGAGGGGGGGTGGGGGACAAAGGCACTTCCATCTTGCTCTCAGTGTTCATGTTTAAGAAGAGAATGGGGTTGAGGGTGTAGCTCAGTGGTATATCATCTGCTAGGAAAGGCATGTGTGAGGCCATGGGTTTAATTCCTAACACCCAAAAAAATGTTGTTTGACTACAAACTTGTTTAAAAAAAACAACAACCACCTTAAGGGCTGGGGGCTTAGCTCAGTGGTACAGCAGTTGCCAGTATCCCCAAGGTCCTAGTTCAATACCCAGCACAGCAACAAAACAACAACAAAAACCCTTACATTTAGGAAACAGACATAAATACAGGGAAGAAAGGGAGAGGTGGAAAGAAAAGGAGAGAGGGGAAAAGAAGATGTAACTGACTGGGTAGGTCTCCCTAGATGCTGGGGAAAAGGCAACCCAAAGGAGTGAGGAAAAGCAGCCAGGGAAAACAGAGGGGAGATTATGGCAAGGGGAAGGGTCTCAAGGCAGAATTGCCTGGGTCAGAGAAGCAAATGGAAGAGGTAACAGAACCGTGAGAAAACCTGTGAGGAGAAAACGACCTTGCGTCAACCCTGTCAGATGGAGGTCCCCATGGACCTTCCATCCTGGCTCCCACGCCGGCTCAGCAAACGCTGGCCCCCTCTCTCCAGGTAGCTCCTCTCTGCACATCCACCGCCCGGGATTCAGGAGGGGATTCGCACGTGGAGAGGGCTTGGTGTGGACCACCCCCGTTTGCTGCCCTCCCAAACTTTCTACCAATGCTTCGCCACCCCACCCTCCTTGGCTCCGCTGCTTAGCTCCAGAAATAGAATGAGTACTTCTGCCTTCTGTTCCGGGCCTCCCCGAGGATTCCCGGGGGAGAATCCGGGGGCGCGAGCAAACCAGCGCTCTTGGAAGCGGTGCCTTCTGAATCTGCGGTCCCGACCTCTGGGCTCAGGTAAGCCACCGAGGAAGGTCATCGCTCAGCGTAGCCGGGGGCCGGCGGCCCTTTTGATTTCTGCAGGTTCACGGGTTTGCACCGCGCCCCCACGCCCTTAGGCCCCTGGGGTGGGCGGGCGATTTGCTCCGGGGTCCCCCGAGAGGATGGGGACCGAAAAGGACCCCATTCGGGGGAGGGGCACCGGGGAGTGTGAGGGACGGGACCGTTACCTCATTGAAGCCCTCCTGCAGGACGTCCAGTAAGTTCCCGCGGGTCAGGCAGGCTAGCATTGTTCCTGCGGCGCTCCCCGGGCGGGGGCGCAGCCGGGCGGCCGCCGCCGCCTCCTCCCTCTGCACACAAAGGCTCTCGGCTCAGCTCTTGGGGACCTCTCCCGAGTCCCGCATGCCACTTACTGGAAACCTAGACCCGAGCCAAACTAGCGGCTTGCACTGGGCATGCTCGCGCGGGGGCCTCTGCCTGAGCGGCCCGCGCCGTAGTGGTTCCCATAGAAACAGCTGGGCGCGCGCAGGATGCAGGGCGCTGGCGGGAGGCCCGGCAGGCTTGCGTGCCGGAGAGCCCGCGGCGCGAAGGCGGACCAGCAGGAGGCTCGGCGTGTGCGCGCCCTGCACGGGAGCGCGCGCGCGCGCACACACACGCACCCGGCCTGTAGGCGGGCGTGCCAGTATGTGCACGCGCGGCGTGCATTAACACATGCATGCACACGCACATTTGCGGTCGCGCCAGCGTGTGCACGTGTATGCAATTACACACCAGACCCGCAGGCGGGCATGCCCGTATGTGCGTGCATTCACACATGCATGCACACATCATTTGACACACAAACGGTTGTGCCAGAGTATACATGTTGTAGTCTCTCTCTCTCTCTCTCTCTCTCTCTCTCTCTCTCTCTCTCTCTCTCTCTCTCACAGAGTTGATTTAAGGCAGCAAGTGGGTAGGAAAGGGAATGAATCATAGGATTTTTTTTTCCTCCAGACTAAATGAAAACAGCAACCTTTTTCCACATGGGGCCTGGAGAGTGAGGTTAGGCTAAAGAAGAGGAAACAGTAGGGAGAGAAACAGAAAAGGGGGTGGGGGGCAGAATAAGAGGATAGAGAGAACTTTAGGTATTGGTATTGGATTACAATTAATAGAACAGCGCTAAACAAATCACAACAGAGACATCAAAGGCAAGCCAAGGATGACCAAGCCTTTTCCAAAATGTTCTCTCTCTCTCTCTCTCTCTCTCTTTCAAATAACTGCTAAATTGTAACTCCCCACAGCCTCCGTGGTGCATACCTGTAGTCCCAGCACTCAGGAGGATGAAGCAGATGGATCAATGGCTTGAGGCCAGCCTAGGCTACATCACTAGACCCTGTCTCAAAAAAAAGTAAAACCCATATTTTAGTGAGTTTTTAAAATAAATCAGTTTTAATTACAATGAAAAAATTGCAAAAGTGGCCTGGTGCATTTGACAAAGTTAGGTAAAACTTCCTTAAATGAAAAAGAGAGCTATTTATTGCCCTCTGCGACAAAGGCTGAGGTCATAGCCACGATTAATTATTGTTAAGAAGACTCGTCAGTTGTATGTTCAGTGCAAACTTATTTTTATAGGAAAACTGGAAGCTGAAAGATCATCCATATTGCATTCCATCTTGTGATCCCAGAGCAGATCAGAGCCTCCCCCAAGGATACAGCTGGTCAGTGACAGGCAGCTCAAGAAGCTAGGACTCTACATACCATCTTCCCGAAGGCCCAGATACCCTGCTCAAACCCCCATTACTACCTTAGCAAGAAAAGTCAGAATAAGTCTAACGTGACTTACTCAACCTAATGAACTCCTCCTCATGTCACTAGAGAAAAATTCCTAGTGATATCCTGTCTGAATGTCTAATGCTGCTAAATACAAACATCTTCTGGAAAAATACTCATCTGTTCCTGACCACCACAGGCAGGAAACAGAGAATCAACACAGATGTTGTGTGGCTGCTGTGAATTCAGTTCTGTCTAAGGCTGGGAAAAAGCTATGACACCAAATCAAATGAACCTGAGCAGCCTATAAATCAGATTACTAACCTTCATAATCTAGTTGGGAGCTTAATTGCCAAGAACTCCCTTCACATTAATTACCTCGATTCATGGTGTAACACCATCAGGAGTGTCCCTAATTTATGTTACTGTAACAAGGCCCTTTATAAAGAGAAGTAGAAACTTGCAGTTGCACAGAATTGTATGCAACATAGGTACACACACATAACAATGTGAACCCAAAACACCCAGTTGGTGGATGAACCCTTACTCTGATTAAGAAACCATCATGCTTTGGACATAGAGGAAAAAAAGTACTAGACATCACAGGGAGGCCTACTGACAGTGATCTGTGTGAAGTGATCAGTGTTTCTTAAACCAGTCTTTGATCAAGGTAAGGCCTGTGAACTCAATGCTCTGGGGAAAGCTTTAACTGAATCTTAAAGCTCTAAAATAAAGAAGTCACTCATTTGACCCAAGTCCCTTGTTTCATGTAAGAAGGAATCAAAGCCAGGAGGGTTGTTCACAGTCACTCAGCAAATCAATATCAGAGCTAAGACCTTTGAGGCCTGGCCCTGCACCCTTTGCACAGCCCTTCACAGCCTGCTGGAGAAATTAAGAGAAAATTATAGGCATTGTGGTGACTTGATAAAAAAATTTGTATAAGGCATATTGCCCAAGATTGTAATATATCATGAAAGTCTGTAAGTAAACCAGTCACATATTCTATAATTCAAGTGTCCACTAGAACTTTCTGTAAAGTTAGAAATGTTCTATATGCTGCCCAATACAGTGGCCACTGGCCACATCTGGCTATTGAACACTTGGAATGTGGCTAAGGCAATTGTGGAGATAAAATTTTAATAGCATTTAATTTTAATTCATTTAAATTTAGATAGTACAATTTCAAGATATTCCGTTTCATTGTCCCTATACAACTGTTGAAGTGTTCCAAAAATTGTGCTAGTTCACATATAGTATGCCTCTCACAGTTGGAAAAAGCATACAGTCCCTGTTGGACCGTATAATTTTTTTTCTCAGAAGATTTATCCACCATGCCTATAATGGTGTGCCTTAGAAAGTGACCCGGGGGTGATGGCCTTTGCCTGTGATCCCCACTACTTACAGAGGCAGAAGGATCTCAAGTTCAAGGCCAACTTTGACAAAGTTAGCAAGATTCTATCTTGAAAACAAAATATAAACAAAAGGGCTGGCTGGGAGCCAGTGGCTCATACCTGTAATCCTAGCTACTCAGGAGACAGAGATCAGGAGGATCATGATTAGAAGCCAGCCCCAGGTAAATAGTTTAAGACCCTACCTCAAAAAACCCTTTACAAAAGAAAAGAGCTGCTGGAGTGACTCAAGCAGTAAGAGCACTTGCCTAGCAAAAGTGAGGCTGAGTTCAAACCTAAGTACCACCACAAAAAGGGGGGACTGGGAGCATGGTTCAAGTGGTAGAGTGCTTGCCTAACAAGTGTGAGGTCCTGGGTTCAATCTCCAGTACTGGGGGGAAAAAGAAAGAAAGAGAAAGTGGCCCAGGTGAAGAAATGAGCCTCAGCTATTAGGCAACAATGATGTGTACTACTCCAGGCATCCTATCCCACCCTGTTGTGAAATCAATCTAAGAGTGAGAAGCCTAAGTAGGTTAGCTGAATGAAGTAGAAGTAACTGGGGCAATGATCAATACCATGTAGTTCTGTATGTAGGAAAACCACAAAGCCCTCTGGGTAACTGGAACCATTCCCGGTGCTGCAGGCCTGTCATTTGCTTGCCTGGGAGAAGCCAAGAACTGTAGCTCTCTGCTTCCGCCTATTGCTGTTGTGCTGCCTGATTGCTGAATTTATAGTGGGCCTCCTCAGTCTTGCATTATTTGGGCAATAATGGAAGACGCTTCTCCACAAGCTGAAAGCCACCGAGATAGCTAAATATAAGCAGTAATAATAGCAAAATTGATTTCTGACTATTTGTCAAGTCTTGTACTAAGCACAAATGCACCTGCGGTGATGGCCACAGTTACCATAAAACAGTTGATTTAATTTTTTAAATAAGAAGGAAGAAAGGTTTGGAGGATAAGTTATTTGCCCCAGACCCAAGTGGTAAAGCCAAAGTCTGGTTTCTTAACCATTATGCTATATTTTTATAGGATGCTCATAACATAGATGGTACTCAGTAAATGTTTTAGATGAATGAATGAATGAACCAATGGCGAAAACATTCACAAATACATTCATCCCTTCTATCAATAAGTATAATAACATGTTTCCCTAATTAAGACTTTGAGCCCTAAGCAAAACTGTCATTTGGTGAAAACATTGCCTGTGACTTTTCTCTGTATAAAACTAGGATGTGTGAAGTTCACACCTATGAAAAATTCAACACATCTATTATGAGAATCATTTGTGACTAGAAAGAAGCAGAAAGTCAGTTGAAGAAAACAATTAAAATTATCAATGAAAATATTATAAATGACCCTCTGAAATAATTTCTTCATCTTCCTTCTGTTTTCTCACCTTAGCCAAGTTCCTTGAGAGTAACATGTTTACAACTTGTACTACATTTACATTCAGAGACATCAGTATAGACATACACAAAAAGGCTTGTACCTACCAGCAAAGATTACAAACATGTCCTGACTCCTCAACTGTATTCTTTATTTATTATTTATTTTTGAGTGTTGGGATTGAATTCAGGGCCTCACGCATGCTAGGCAAGCATCCTACCACTATATATACCTCCAGCCCCAAACTGCTAGCTTTTGTGTCCATGCATTTCCTCCTACCAGTCCATGTTGATCTTAATCTTTCTCAGATGATGCATTTGTCTGGCTGCTCTACTACTCAATGTCTTCAAACATTCCTGTTTCCTACCATGTCAGATATAAATTCTTTGTGACTAAGGGCTTCTTCCCAGATCACCTCTGTTCAGGTTAGAAGACTTCACTGTCTCCCAGATTTACATCTCCATGCTTTCATGACTGACCCAGAATTCCCCATCCTCCATTCATCTGTTACCCGTATCATCACCTTGACTACTTCAAGCTCCACTTCCTCCATAAAATAACTCAACACATTTTTCTGAGCTGCTGGGGACGACATCCTTACACATCTTAAGCAAGCACACTACTAATGAGCTACATTCCTTCCACTGACTAGTCTTGATTTTTATCAGTTTCAAACACTCATCTCCCAGATATCTCATGGTTCATTCCTGCTCCTTTTTCAGGTCTCTGCCCAGATGTCATTTTAGAACTTTGGCCTTCTTTTACCATCCTATTTAACATGACGACACTCCCTCACACCAGCACTCCCAGACCTCTTTGCCTGGTTTATTTTTATTTTCTTCATAGCTTTCATCGTTATCTTGGATAGTCTATATTTCCTTGCTCATTTTATTTTCTGGGACAAGATCCTGCTATATGTCCCAGGCTGGCCTTGAACTCAAAATCCTCCTGCCTCAGCTTCTTCAGTGCAGGGACTATAGGCATGCACTACCTGGTACTTGTTCATTTATTATCAGTTTTCCCCCACCCAGAATGTAAGCTCATGAAGACAACAAATTTTGTGGGGTTTGTTGCTGATTTATTTCCAAAGTCAAGAATATTGTCCAGCACATAGTAGACATTCAATGAATACTGGCTGAATGAATGAATCTTTCTCTTTTTACAATTAAAAGGCCTATCAAGTTCATTACTGTGTTATTGAGCTTTAGTTATAGTTAACTTAGGACTATGGATCTTTGTCTCTTACAGTATTATAATGTCAAATGTAAATAATTTTCGGTGTTCTATATTATCCTCTCCTTCATCCATGCACTCTTTCATTAAACATTCATTAAATATAGGTTGAATAACTCTTATACATAATTGTATGCCAGGTCCTATTGAGCAGAAACTTGAAGAATTGATAGTTACACTTAAATACACATACAACACACAGAGGGAAGAAACAAAACAGAGGAAGGAAATGTAAAAGGAAGACCAGTAAAACTGAGAACTCAACGTCAGAGGAGGGGACAGAGTGCACAGGGTGAATGTGACAGATGAAACGGGTAGAAGGAAGAACATGACAGAACAGTGAGAGACTAGGGTAGGATGCTGCCAAAGTAATCACCAGATGGCAGTGCTTAATATAAATTGTGCCAAAGCAGACATGCGAATATCTACATGAAGTTTTTAACATTCACATTTCAAGTGTCTGCCAGCCATGTGATGGGTGAAAATTCGATCAAGATAGCGACATCTGGTGGATATTTTGAAAATGACCCTGGTGTGTCTCTACTATGAAAACACTGTAACATGGGTTTGCTTCTGCATTAGCAATCATCCTGTATTACTCCTCACTACATTTCTTCCAGTCCCAGGGTCTCACTGCACACTGCAACCAGACTTCTATGAAGGACTTTTCTGTCTCCCAACTGATGTCTAGCTATCTGCTGAAGGATGTATACAAAATCTGACATCACAATTCTTCTTTTACAAGATAAACTTATAATTTAGATTTTTCAAATCTTTTTAAGTAGTCAAATTATTTTTTTTCATTCTCTTTTTTGGCATTACTGGGGTTTCAACTCAGAGCCTTACACTTACTAGGCAAGAGCTCTACCACTTGGGCCACACCCCTGGCCCTTTTTGATTTCTGTTGTTTTAGAGTCTCGCTAACTTTGCCTCACTTGTCCTTGAACCCCTATTCTCCTATCTCTGCCTCTTGAGTAGCTAGAGTTACAGGCAAAAGCCAACACACTCAATTTTAAATTAGTTATTTTCAATGTGAGGGGTAAGGGCAGAGGAACCTAGGCCAACAACAAGGAGCCAATCAGGAATATTACAGTCACTGCAATGATTATCAAACAATTTAAAAAGTTTTAACAATTTTGTATTAACAAACATGAAATGAAAAAAAGCAAAGTCAAAAGTTTGCATATAACATGGTCCCTTGTAAAACATGTACACAGAGAAAAGACTGGAAGAATATTCCAATATATTAACAGTGTTTGCTTCTAGATAGGAGACTTGGGGTTGGTGGGGTTTTTTAAATAATAGTTCGCAATATTTCTCAAATACTCTGTAAGTAAAATACGTTATTTCTACAGCAAATCTTATTTAAGTCTTTTAAACAGTGCATATGTTCTGACTCATTGCTAAAGTTTTTCAACCTCTGCCTGATTTCATTAATTCAGAAAAAATAGATGATGAATCAAAGCTCAAGTAAGCGAGAATTTCTACAAGAAGGAAAGGCAAGAAAAAGAAGGTAAATGTTCTGTTCCAGGATCTGAGTCCAAATGTGTATAACTCTAATGAAATTCAAGTAATGTCATCACACGCTTCTCAACAGGATACCAGAAACTTACAGAGGGCTCTGCTGGCTGCAGGGAGTTACAGAATCTCATAACCACTTGAGTCCGCATCTTCAGAGTCCCTAGAAGAGCTGAATCAGGGCCACCTTAAAATAGGAAAGGGAAGAAATGTGCAAATGTGTAGAAGGAGAAAAGAATTCCAAAAGCTAAACCAATCTATTTGGGGTCAGGCCTCTCCCCTAAACCTACAAGTTTAAGTCATCTTGAAATGTCAGGAAATCTAGCCAAAGATATTGCAATCATAACAGGGCTATCACAATGGCATGTTAAAACCTATTACTAAGGTTTTCACAGGAACGAAGAACAGTGCTTCCTTATCCTTTTCCTTACTTCCTACATTCATCAGTCAAAAACCACAGGACAAATTACGAAGATAATGGGAAGAAATACTGGGAGCTCTGCTTCCCGCACTTACCCCTTTCATTCTGAGTTCAGTTTTAACCCAAAAAGACAGCATTTATAATTCCCAAGCAGAATTTGTATATAGAACTTTAAGGATTTGCAAAGCGTTATCTTCAGCATCTTATTTGACCCTCACACTAAATAACTCTTGAAAATAGAGGTAATTTTTTCCCCTCCCAGCTAGCTTATAGGAAATGGGGTAGGGAATTGCTTCATTTATTATCGGTGGAGGCAGTCCTCCCTCCCACCTCTTCTGAATCCACTTGCACTACCTAGGTGTGTGCCAGAGAACACGCAGGGAAATAGTGACAACGATGATGATGATAGCGGCAGCCAACATTCGATCACATACTATGTAACGTTGCAAGTGCTTCAAATTCTCACAGGTATTCTATAAGGTTCATGCTATTATTACCAACGTGTGTGTGTGTGTGTGTGTGTGTGCTGCGATTCCATTTTCAGTGCCCTCCCTATCTGCAGAGAATCATCCTTCTTAGGGACCAAGCGACAGGTAGAGATATTTGGGGGAAAAGGAAAGAGCGCTTCCGAGCTCCGAAAGTGAAGCAGAAATTGCACAAGGCTCAAAGTTCAACCTCCTCCTTCTCACCCCACCCTTGCCCCCTCCATACTCTCCAGTTCCGACCTGAATGTCAACCAGTGATGTTTTCCAGTTACCCGCGCTGCCGTTCAGCACTTACCTTTTAAATCGTCGGCCTGGCTAGTGCACCATCTCTGCCTCTAGCCTTTCCGGACTCGGCTTTCACAAGCTCTGGCTTGGCCACTGTGTTCCTGTTGCCATGGTGACGCCAGTCTCCAGCCAAGGAGAGTCAGCCCCTGCCAGCCGTGGCCCCGCCCCGCGCCTTCGGACCCCGCCTCCAGCCGGCTCCAGCTGGTCCCTGCTAGATCCCAGCACGCGCCCTGCGGATCCCCTCCGCCCCAGACCCCACCCCTGCCGTTCTGGACCCGCCTCCTAACGGTCCAGACCACAATCCCTGCGGCTTTAGCCCCGCCCCCTGTATTCATGGTCACGCCCCTGTTGATGCAAACCCTCCTCCTTATTGGCCTGTACCCCGCCCAGGGTTCGCCTTCAGCCAGTGGGAGTCCGCCCCCTGTTCGATCAAGGCACGCCCCCTGCTCTCGGGAGACCAGCTCGTAGGCCTCTCTGCTGGTGGGAGGTTGCTACCGCCCTTACGCTGGGCCGGACGCGGCAAAATTCCGCTCCAGCAAATGTGCCAGGCCCATTCTTCACGCCATTTATTGGTTGCAGCGGCTCCACGCAAGAAAGAGCGAGCAGTTCAGCCAACAGTAGTTTCCAGCCCCCTCCATGCTGTTAGCATCTGTGACTTGAAGTCCTTGTGGCCAGTGGCTGGAGAAGTCTTCCTCCATGCCTCACCCCTGCCCACCATCTGTTTGCTTAGGTCTGGAACCCTTGACCTAGCTACTAAGGAAATTGCCCAATCTAGCCCTGGGGCTGTGTGCAAAAGCACAGAATGCTTTTCCTGAGCACCTCCCCTCCAGCTCCGGAGTTTACAATGTGTAAAAGAGATGCCATTAGGTAAAACCTAACAAGAGCGGCCCAAACGCATATAGCCTGTTCTCTCTGCACTTGAGAGCCCGAGTAATGTTAGGGGCCGAAGCCTAAGCTTCACCTAACCTCTTTTTGTGGAACTCCATCCATCCATAGCTAACCTAACCACAGCGCCAAGCAAACAATGGCAAATAAGAGGCCATCTCCCCTAGGGAGAGACAAGGGACACGCAGGTTCAGGGACTCTGGAGTTCTTTAAAGCTTAAAAAACGTAGACAACTGGGCTGCCACCCAGTTCCTTAGAGCAGTAGGTTCTCCTTACAGGGGTAGCGGTAAAATGGTGAAAGCTGGTCCCTCTTCCCCAAGGCTTACACCAGGGTCCCATTCTTGCTGTCATAGCGAGGTGTGGCCTGGGGGAAGCGAAGGGTCGCATATTCTGTTGCGATTTCTGAATGCAGATGCTTCACCTCACTGGCGGATCGTGGCTGGACATGGCTGCACACTTGAATGTCGGCATAGTGTAAGTTGCTGTCTTCTGATAGGAGGTCTTGATTCCTCTTTTCAGATATAGGCTGCTGTAACACTCGCTCATACATATGTCCTGTTGTTTCATGTCTCTGTGAGAAAGGGAGAGAATTAAGGGAGATTCTTCACTTGGTTTTGCCCCTCACTTCCAATGCAGGCCAAGTTACACTGCTGTCCCTTTGCTTTGCTCCTTTTGGGGCTAGAAGAGGCCCTACAGGATCAGCAAATTCTACCAACGACAACTGAAATGTGTTTTTCCCGGGGTGAAAATGCTGAATACTGGGATCCCATGTCTGAGTAGTCCAGGAAGGGGACAAGGCTATTGTTACCTTTGTGCCATTCTTCTGCAGCTGTTGCTTCAATGTGCGTCTTGCTTGGCTCTCTGTGGGGGAAGAAATCCAACTTAAATCCATTCTCTCTTCCCTATCTCTATTGGGACTTTCCTCTTTAAATCTCCCTTGAATTGTTAGGGTGAGCTTGTAATGCATCTCCCTGCCTCCATTCCCACTCTATGCCAGGCTCTGTAACAGGCTGTCCAGATAGAAGGATGAACAGGCTGGGTCCTCTCCTCAGGAAACTTACCATTTAGTAGGGGAGAGAAATAAGTACCCAAAGTGGTACCACAGTGCAATTTTCAATCCACCCTCTCTCGCTCTCTCTGCAGGAGCTGATTCCTCTGTGTAAAACATCCTCCATTCCTCCTCTACTGACTTGTGAACTTGATAGTATTCCTTTAACATCAGTGTTTTCTCCCATTCTCCCACAGCACAAGGGCATATGTTTGTTATAGTACCAGAAGATAACATATTTGTAATAATTGTTTACAGAAATCTCCCTGTCAAACGTGATTTTCAACTCTTCCATAGCTGAGCCCATGTGTCCTTCCCCTTGTGCCTCTTTTATTGGTGGGGGAGTAGTGGGGATTGAACCCAGAGTCTCAGCTTGGTAGGCAAGCTCTCTACCATTTGAGGCATGCCACCAGAATACTCCCCCTTCCTTTTTTTCTTTTTTTTGTTTTCTTTTTTTAGAGATATAGTCTTTCTTATTTTGCCTGGGGCTGGTCTCAGACCATGATCCTCCTTGTCTCTGGCTGCCTACTAACTGGGATTATAGATAGGCAACATCACACTAGGCTTCCCACAGAGTGACTTGAATACAACATAAGCGCTCAGTAGTAATTGCTGGATGAATGATGAGATGATTGAAAAGAGAGCCTCGGGTTCCGGGCTGGCCTTGAACCTAGAAAACTAAAGATTCTCTTTATCCCTTCCAACGTCACTCATCTTTCCTATCTTTATACCCTTTTCAAAAATGCCAGTTCTGTTGTTTCCTCTAATTTGCCCTCCTCTATGCCCCCTCCAAAAGTTACCTGTTTTGTTTTTCTTCTGGAAAGTTGATGGGCAGCTCCTGTGGTAGGAAAAACAGATCACTCATGTGTATGAACTCTGTCCTCTATCTTTCCTCCTTCATCATTTCCTCTAATGGTCTCCTTAGCATTCTGGGATGGCCTTCCCTCACCTCCCTAATGATTCATTCTGAACCAGGTTCAGCCCAAAAGTATTTGTCAAAGGTACCACACCTCTCCCAAACTGATGGTTCTGAAAGGTAGAGTGGTACAACTGACATAACCAAACCTAAAATACAGTTTTAGGCAATGAGGTACTATGTGCCAGGGATGTAGCTGACTGATGGCTATTCTGGGATTGTCTAACAAGCTACTCCCAACTGAGGGAAAGGAAACCTGCCAAATAATGGGGTACTCCTGGATCCAGAGACCCTCATGCTACTTTCTGGGTGCTATTTCCAAGCTGGAATTTTCATTCTGGAGGTTATAGAAGCTTCCACAACCAGGGCTCCTCAAAGAACCTTTTCCAAAAAGTGACCTCCCTCCCTGCTTCCCTGTCCTTGTCTTTAATTAACAGAGAAAGTGAGAGATGTTTAACCTTCAGTGTCCTTTGGGGCACTCTGACTATAGAACAGGGAACACTGAATTTGGTGAGTGACTCAGCTACTCTGTCCTCCTAGTAATTTCTGAGCCCTTGGGGTCCCGGATGGAGCCTGTGTGTCTATGTGATTGTCAGTAGTTTGCTGCCTAGAGGAACAACAGTTGTCTGAGCAAATAGGCTGAATACTTTGGGACTTACTCCATAAGCTTTTTCTTGCTAGTCCATTTCAGAATCTTCCCAGAGCCAACCCTATTTGTCTGTCTGATTTCTCCTTTTCCCAGGAATTTCCCTTCTTTTGCAAATTAGAGAGAGAGAGAGATAGACAGACTTTTAAATTATGTTGACTACTACAGAAAAAACAGGATTTTTTTCCCACACACATTTGATAGAAGAGTGGATGATGGTATGATTTTGGCTTTGAGGCAGCTTTCTGATTTGAGATCAGTTAGTCTTTATGCAAACACTACAGGTGTCTCAGCAGAAATATGACTTCTGTGTCTTTCAACTTTATTCTCTGCCACTTTAGCTCTTGCTTTGTGTTATAGCTTCCTAGTCATAGACTTCTCCTACAACTAGAGACTCTTCTAACACCTTGCTCCTTGTCACTACTGTTTTCCTACTACTATTTTAGCGGGGAGAGAAAATATGGATGCTAAAATACATGACTAGGGCTATCCAATTTTAGCAAACAGAGCCTGTTCCCAAGTTGGATATTGCGCAGTGCCTGGACACAACTCAAGACAGAATTATTTTTAGGATAGATTTAAGGAAACTAAATGGACACTCTCCCACAGTAGTAGCAGGTATAAAAATGGGTGCAATCCTTCCAGAATGCAATTGGCAATAAGTATAAAAAGCTTTAAACATAAATGTGTATATTCTCTGATGTAGCAGTCTCATATCCTATAACTAATTATGCATATATAAATATGGATACTTACAGTATTATTTACAATTTCAGAAAAATAGGAACTATCATGAATATCCAATATTTGGTAACTAAGTAAGTAGCATATGCGGTCAAGAGAAAACTATGTAGCCACTTAAAAAAAAGGATGTTGGAAGAACATCTAATAGCATGGAAATTTTTATTTTATTAAATTAATAAAAATATAAGGCCAAGCATAGTGGTTCATGCCAACAATCTCAACATTTTGGAGGCTGAGGCAGGGGGATTGCCAGTTTGAGGCCATCCTGGGCAACACAGTATAACCTTGTCTCAAAAAATGCCCTGAGTTCAAATCCCAGTCCAACCAAAAAAAAAAAATCTCCAATGGTTATTGTATCTTTCAGTCTTTGGAGTTTTACTGAGATAACAAGAAACAAAGGAAAATAATTTTTACCAATCCTACTAATATTTTAGAAGGGAAAAATCAATTTTTGATTAGAATATCTGGCATAGTGTCTCTAGAATGTGCTCTAGAGTCAGATTGGCCATGTCAGACTGTGAGACTTTCAGCAAGTTTTTAACTTCTCTGGGCCTCCATTTCCTTATAAATAAAATGAGGGTATAATAGAATGTAAACATCATAAGATGATTGTAAGGATTAAATAAAATAGTAAGTGTAAGATATCTGGCATGGCTCCTGGCCAATAATAAGACTCCCCCTAGCTATCACCATAAGAGAAGTAACCAGTAATGAAGAATATAAATATATAAATACTTGAGGCAAAAGGAAGTGAAAGAACCTATTACATCCCCTTCCCTAGAAGTTTCTCTACGTTTCTAGATGTCCTATGTCTGGGACAACTCAGAGTTTAAAGAGTGCTTTATTTGTCTCCTCAGTCCTGATAACATTGTAGGAGACATATATTGTAGTTCCCATTTTACAGATGGGTCAATTATGACCCTTGAACATTGGTATCTTATCCAGGAAGGCAGGGACCACATTTCCTTTTTATAAAGTCTTCTGCATCTTTCACTGGGCCTGGCACATAGTACATGTCAATAAATATTTGCTTAATAAATGAATAGATAAATGAGTAAATAAATAGATAAGTGAATGGATAGCTAAATGAATGAATCCAATGTGCTGATTCCAAATCCTATGTGCTTTTCTTGTCTTTCTGTATACAATGATGTTTATTTATAAAGAAGACATCCCTGGGATCTGCCCAGACACTGAATGATATAGCTAGGAGGGAGTAGAACAGGGTCTGGGAGTTTATGGTGAGGATAAAAACTCTAGGAAAGAACAGTTACAAGACCACAAGTAATTTACAATGGGGTTTTCACTGTATCCTTTGTTCTCAAAACAAGCCTATGATCAGAACAATAGGAGATTATGTTAATCTATATTTTAAATGAGAAATTAAAGGACTGCTTATGTCACAGCAAAGGAGGGTGAAAGTTATATTCACATATTCCATGGAATATTCTGCTTCCCACTTCTACCCTAATGTTAAACAAACATTTGTCCAGAGTTGGTTTGCTCAATCTGAGATTACATCTGTGATTATGTAGTGGCAAAAGTATGGACTCTGAAGTCAGGCGCCTGGGCTGGAATCTTGGTTTACCTGCTTCCTAGCCATGTGACTCTGGGCTAGTTCCCTTCTCTGTCTCAGCTTTTTGACTGGCCATAAGATGGGAGGAAGGGGAAGAAGACCATTCACTCATAGAAGTGTTGGGGAAACTAGACAATATTGCCTTCTAGAAAGTTCTCAGATACCACAATTATTATGATGATCTGAGGAAGAAGAGATGGGAGGGCAGGGAAAAGGAAGGAAGAGAACAGAGAAACAATGCCAGTTCACCATTCCAGCTCTGCTCTGGCCACTCTACAGACAGTTGGCTTGGCTGTCTTTTCTAAGGTCTCCTGAAAGGAGTGAGGATGGAAGGAGGTGCTGCTCTGAGGCTGGGAACAGGAGGTGCCAGGCACAGGAAGGTGGCAGTGGGTGGCACTATCTCCTGGATTCTCAGATTCTCAGGCTCCAGGTCTACCAATAGACATCCCCTCTGCCCTTCCACCCTACTTACCAGCTTCCCCCGCAGCAGAGCCGGTTTCCCATGGCGCTTGGTCTCCCAGGGAGCCCAGCTGTTTTTCGACATAAAGAGGCTTGTGCATTTCCTGGTTCCCGGTGTACCTTTCCGTGGCAGCTCCCAGCAAGTCTCTGTCAGTGTCAGATTTCAACCTAGCAGGTTGGACTTTGGAGGCCACCTGCTGGAATGATTCCCAGGTGACTGTTACCAGCCAAAGGATAAAACAACACACACAGGCTCCAGGTGAGAGCTATCTCACCTTTGGGATTTGAAGCTTCTTTTGATCAAGCCATGAACGTTGAGGTTCAAGCTTCAATTAAAAAAGAATCTTGAGCTAGAAAAGGACTCTGGGTTTGCTTAGGAAATGTTTCTCAATGACATCACACTGTCTTTGAAATATATCCTCCATAATGGACTGAAGAGTCTTCCCTTATGTTCACCCAGCACCACTCAGGATTGAATTTCACTGTCAAGGTCATTGATACCAGTTTTTAAAATGATCTCCATCCAGAATCTGGATTTGAATATGAGTTTCTTGGAAGATGGAATTTAGGGAAATGGATTCCCTTTATATTTTCTCTTGCTATTGGAATTAGTGTGGTCAGATCACTTAGCCTTTAGGGCCTAGGTTTCTAGGACCATAAAGTGGAAGAACTGAATTTATCATCTGATCCCCTGCCTAGTATAAAATCGGATGATCCTAGGATTCAAATGGCATCAGCACTTCTTGGCCACTCACCTTCCCCTCCCCAATTGAGGACTACAAAATCTCCACTTACCCCTCCAGTCAGCTTCTACTTCCAATTAATCAAAGTAAGACTAATTCCCCACTCATCAGCAACTAGGATGCAGCTGAGCAAATTCCCCTGTCTAAAATATGGGCTCTTTCTGGGCATGGTGGTGCACATCTATAATCCCAGCTATCTAGGAGGCAGAGATCGGGAAGATCATAGCAAAAGGTAGCAAGACCCAATCTCATCAAAACAAGTTGAACGTGATAGTACATGCCTATAATGCCAACTATGCAGGAGGCATAAGTAGGAATGCAGTCAGAAAGCAGTCCTGGGCCAAATATTTGAGACTCTATCTGAAAAATAGCTAAAGCAAAAAGTCTGGATGAGTGGCTCAAGCGAAAGAGGCCCTGAGTTCAAACTCCAGTACCACCAAAAAAAAAAAAGAAGAAGAAAGAAAGAAAGAAAGAAAGAATGGGATCTAGGAGAATTTGTGAAGTCTATAATGCTTCAGTGCTCTCACTTGATCTTTAATGTCTTCCCTGGATGCTCATACTCAGATCTGCATTCCCAATCTTATGAAATCTGGGAATAGGAGTGACAACCTTTCCAAGTGCAGTAGCTCATACCTATAATCCTAGTTACTGGGGAGGTGAAGATCTGTTCAAGACAAAAAACTTCATGAGACCCCCATCTCAACCAATAAAAGTTGTGCTTGGTAGTATGCACTTATCATCCCAGCTATGCAGGAAATATAAATAGAAGGATTGAGGTCCAGGCCAGCTCAGGCATAAGAGTAAGACCCTATTCAAAAAATAACTAAAGCAAAAAAGGGCTGGGGACGTGATGAAAATTAAATGAGGTATATGTATATAGTCCAGAGCCTGCCACATGGGAAACTCTCAGTAAGTCTTAGCTATTGTTATTATTATTACTTCTTGTTCTCAGCTAATTGTCAAATGATATTTTATTTCTTGTGCCCCAATCAGTACACATGCCTCCCTGCCCCCCCCACCAGTAACTGTATCCTTTCATTCTTGTTACCTGCTCCTCTCCTCCAAGCTTAAAAGCCAGTAATAATTTCCTCTTACCTATAGGATAGAGTTCAAACTTCTTAGCCTGGCACTCAAAGTCCTCCATAATCTGGTTCCTTTCCAGCATGTCTGTAATTTTAGGAAATCACCTAAGAGATTTTCAGATGATCAGAAACTCCATAGAAACCAATAGTATGTTTGTGGTAGAAAATTTAATATGCCTTAAACTGCATTACGAGGAGTATAGAATGATAAGAGTATTATTATCATTCCACTGAAGTCTGAACCAATTGATCCATTCCTGGAATAATCATTTTAGGTCTCTCTGTTCAATTACATGTTACATCATTAATGGCAGTATGTTCAAAAGAAAGTTGTCTGTGTAATAAGTGGTACAGAAAATGCTACACGATATGACAGAACTAGGCACAATTTTGCTAGGGAAAGGAAATCTCAAAAGTGCATTTTTATAATTTATATTTACAATATATATTCCCTATAGTGTATTACTTAGGATTTGATAAACATTTATTGAATAAATGGATGTATGAATGGTTGGATACAATCAGTGTCATTTCTCTAAGGTATGCTTTATTTGCTTGTTTGTTAATTTGTAGTGTTGGGAACTAAACCCAGGGCATTGTGCAGGCTAAGCAAGTGTTCTACTACTGAACTACACCCTAGCTCTGCTTTTATTTTTAATAGAAGGCAATCCTTTAACCAATAATTGAATTCCTTAAGTGGGGGTTCTTATCCTATTTCGGGGTCTCCACAAATCCCTAAGAAGGGTATGAATGGAACTCAAAAATTACATGAAACTATTCAAATTGTATTGACAAATTTAGGAGCATTTGGATTTTTGGTCCTAAGAGGACTTAGTGATAGCTTTTGTCAGATTTTCAAAAGGGGCTGTATCTTCAAGAAGTTAAGAAACAACTATAAGTGAAAGAATTTCAGGGGTCTACTATAGCACGGGAAAAAATGTATTTTGGGGGCAAAGAAGTCTTCTGGATACTTCCCAAATCACACACATGCATGCTGTCCTGATTGTAAAGAATAAGTGGGCTAGAGCCTCTGAAGTTTTTCTGGACACCCCATACCCTACTGTCAAGACTCTACTTGCAAGGGAAGCTTCCCTGACCATAATCACTGCACAAGAGCCCAAACTCCCTGCAGTCAGTCTTGGATTAGGTGTGGTAATGCAGTTCATTCTTCTCTTTGGCATGTTACAAAATCTGGGACAAATGCTTTCCCGCTTGGGCCTCCCATGTGCAGAGGATGGGGAGGCTATGGGGTTCCATGATAATGGTGGAGGCTTTTGTGTCTATGCCTCCATGCGTGCATACTCAGCCCCTCGGGATCAGAGACCATTTCAGTGGATAGGCCTTAGTATGGGAAAACAAAAGCATTCACCCCAGGGCTTTCAGCAACTCTCTCCAGCCCAAAACCACTTTCCCAACCCCTACCCAAAAAGGGCCAGACAGTCTGGAGACCCTTGTTTTTGTGTCTCTAATCACCAGCTCAGACAGTGCCCTCTGGGCTGTTTGGATGGCATATCCCTTTTCCCTCCCAGGATCACCCTCTCTTTTGTTGCATTGTGAGAAAATTATGGCTAGGAATTTGATCTGGAGCCAGTGTCAGCTTCCGGGTATGTTCTCAGCATCCAAGTGTGAGCTCAGGGTACTGTGACATTAAGGCACGTTGAATTGAGGAGCTTTTTCTCTAGCTGGGTATGACCTCCTCCTTCTCACCCATCCCACCTTCCAGGCCACAGAATAGGGAGCAGCACAGACAAGACCCTCAGATTTGGGTTTATTCAGCTCCACCCAGAACTAAACCAAAAGCTATGACATGTCCCCAGGGACCAAAACATACATTGTGGACCATGTGGCTTTCCCTTTCCGCCACAAGGGTGCTGCTACCTCTGGGGTGGTGGGCAGCTGCTTGCTTCAAGCAGGAAGGTAGAAAGGGATTCACTGGGTGCTCCATCTATGCAGTCAGGGCTCATCTCTGGCTGCCTCCTCCTCTTCTTCTGGGTCAGGAGGCGCTGGGAGCAGAGAGATGTATACCTCATTGACCTCTGTGTCCAAATGTCGGCCACCCCGAGGCGCCTCCAGGTTAAGGATGCCATCATGGGACAGAGCAGCACGGACCCGCCAGGGGTCGACATCAGCAGGCAGGACATAGGTACGGCAGAACTCTCGGGATACAAAGCCATGGCGGTCCAGGCGCTGAGGGTGCCGGGCAGACACCTCCAGCAAGTTGTCCACAGTCCTTACGGTCACCTCATCTGGGGTAAAGTGGCTCACATCCAGAAATGCCTGGAACTTGCCCTCACTGAGCCTAAGCTCAGAGGCCCCTGCCCTGCTGCCCTCCCCAGCTTGGGTGGCCCGAGGCCGAACGTAGTAGCCATGGTAGAGGGTGGGGGTCAGGATCTCTTCTGGCAGGAGACCTAATGGGCAGAAAGACAAAAGGCAAGAGGCAGGATGAGGAAGGATGTGGTGGGCACAGGGTGAAAAGAGAGATCAGGAGATGGGGGACTGGTAAGAAGAAGAAGGGAAGCTAGGGAGGGGAGGCAGCTGGGAAGAGGAGGCTGAGAAAGGAAATGAGATGGTCTTGGAAGAGACCAACCCAGCAAGGACTGGGAGAAGAGGAGGGGAAAGGAGAAGCCACCCCAAGGCTGGTAAGGGGCAGGTGTCATAGCACTTGGAGGACCTAGGTCTGTCCTGAGGTCATTGGGAAGGGGACAGAACCCTGATTGAGGGGAGTGAGGCAGAGTCTGGGGTGGGGGAGATGGCTCGCCCCAGGAGTTCAGTTAAGCCCCAAGTCGGGTAGAAGCCAGCCATATTGGGCGCCCAGCCCAGAATTTCAGGAGGTGGGGGTGGGAGGCCCCGGGAGTGGCATGTGGGCCATACCTTCTCCGAAGCGCTGCTCAGCCAGACGGCTGGGGTTGGCAAATTCATACTCGGCGGTGGCAGGGTGGGCATGTGGCACCGAGCGGCCCGACATGGCTGCAGTGGCGGCGGTGGCCTTGGACCGAGGTGCAATTTCAACAGGCGTGGCGCGACCCCTCCAGCTGCCGGGACAGCCAGGGCTCAGTCGGAGTGGGGGCGGGGTCTACACCACCCAAAATAGTGCAGAGCGTCTGGGGGAGGGCGGGGAGCCGGGGCCCAGAGTGCGGGGACGAGGGTGTGACCAGCGCCTCCCGGACCCCCTGTCCTCCCCCACCCCCGCACGCCCTTCAGCTGTTGCGGGGCCCTGAAGGGGACAGTTGGGGGTGGGGGATCTTGGCCCTGGAGGAGGGGAACTGGTGCCCCACAGGAGAGCAAGGAGAGGCCTAGCTAAGACCCTCACAGATTCTTTGTGCATTTCCATATCGTCTTTTCTCCTCAGATGCAGGCCCCCTGCACCCTACATCATAGAACACTCTGAATTTAATGTTCTGTGAGCCACATAGCATGAAAGATGCAAGAAACTTTTTCTGATCTTTTTTTTGGGGGGTGGGGGTAGGGGAAAGGTTCTCTGCCAAAATTAACGTCAAAGTCTTCTGAACCCAGGTCAACCCAGGGCACAGTTGAGATGCCAGTACTGACATGTTGGTGGCCACTGCTCTTCTCCAAGGACTCACAAAGAGTTAATGCCCCTGAGGTCCAGCCTAGGAAGATTCCAGTCCCTGCCCAGGCCCAAGATAGTTGTTGGACCAATTCCCGTGGCATGCTAGACTGGAGAGGAGGAGGAGGGGCACATCACCAGCTGCTTGGGATTCCTGACTTTGTCCCAGCTCCCAGAGAACAGGAGATGGGGGTGGGTGTCACTGGACAGAAAGCTAGTGAAACAAGACCATGACAAGTCACTGGCCAGCTCAGACGTGTTTGTGTTTCTCTTTTCTTAGCTCAGTGAGTACTGGGTATGTGTCACACTGCCAAATCCCGGATCACAAGTCTCCATGAACTGGCAGTGAGCTGGGATAATAAAACCCCTGACATCACCATTCCAGAAGCTTCACAAGACTGCATATATAAGGGGCAGGCTGTAGCTGCAGCTGAAGGAGCTGACCAGACAGCTGACCCCCTACAGTCACCTAGCCACCATGGACATTGCCATCCACCATCCCTGGATCCGCCGCCCCTTCTTTCCTTTCCACTCCCCCAGCCGCCTCTTTGACCAGTTCTTTGGGGAGCACCTGTTGGAGTCTGACCTCTTCCCAACTTCCACTTCCCTGAGTCCTTTCTACCTTCGGCTGCCCTCCTTCTTTCGGACACCCAGCTGGACCGACACTGGACTCTCAGAGGTGAGTCTCATCTCTGCCAGGGCAGGAGTGTCCTTTCTGGAACCTCCTGGACACTTCTTTGTTTCCTTAGCTTCCCTGCCTAAGTCATTTTAGGTAGACAGTGCCCAGAGGTGAAGAAAACTGAGCTTACTAGTGGCTCCTTCCCTCCAGGCACTTGTTTCTATTTGATGCTCCTCTATAACTTATTTATTGTGGTGAAGATAATCCTCTGTCCCTTAACTTTTAAGCAGGACACCCCTTTCTGGATAGGTTTATAATGATCCATAGCAAGAAAGCTGCCTTAACTCCTTTGCTTACTTTTTCTGATTCTTCATACTCTTGGTTGATTTTATCATGTCAAGTTTTAGAGCTCAGAGAGAGACCTCCCTCATTTTGAGTTTTTCATCTCCACTGGGTGGAGCTGGACTACCACCACTGTTTTCTTCCTTTCTGTTCCCTCTTCTATGATTTTCTGGGTTCGTCAGGATCTGTAATAGGGCATGGGTCTGCATCCAAACCTTATGAGGAAAAAAATGTAGGTCCACTCTTGGGACCCCCCCACTTGTTCTAAGAGGTTGGGAAAAGAGGTGAACAGATAAGATTGACAGAAGCTGTCACAGATAACACTCTGGTTTAAAAATATTTAAGTGTGAGTAAACAGGAGCTGAGTGGGCAAGGGCTTTGGAAGGACATGCAGAGCCAGCAGAACATTCCAGATTGAGTGGGTAGGAAACTTGGCAGAGACCTGAGCAAGAAAAAGGGGCCTTTGTCTCAGACAAATGACAAAGGCAGGCATTGGGGTCAGACAGGCAGCAGAAGCTGTGCCCAGATTCATCCTTGTGACTGGTCACCTGGGTGATTTGTCTTCTTCCCAGTGGCTCCAAATAAAGCTTGATGAACAAGAGGAGGGGCTTGGGTACCACTTTGGTGGCTCCCCTGAACCAGAGAGCCATGTTATTCAAAAAGGGATTTTTAGCAGACAAGAGAAGGATGCGTTACCTGGACAGAAAGCAAGTCTGCAGAATGATGAGAGTGCATCGGTGTAATCAACATTCCTGCCATCTTTTCTCCTCCTTTTCCCTCCTCTTGCTGTTCCTAGATGCGCTTGGAGAAGGACAGGTTTTCGGTCAACCTGGATGTGAAGCACTTCTCCCCAGAGGAACTCAAGGTCAAGGTTTTGGGAGATGTGATTGAGGTGCATGGCAAGCATGAAGAACGCCAGGTATGTAACTGTTTTTAGTTTTGCTCATTCATTCAGTGCATACTATATGCCAGTTACTGCCATCAGCCCTCTGAGGCTGTTGACATTCCAGTCCCCAAACATAAGGCTCTAGATTAGGTATCAATGACTAAAAAGCTAAATTAGGGATAGAGCTATTATTCTTATTGTTGTTTGGCCTTTGTCATTTGTTTTGGTTGCCATGGATGGATGAAAGGGATGTTCGCTCCCCATTTAAGTCAGTGTGTTTTAACTTTGGCCATATTAAAAGTATGAGATAAATTTTCAAAAATCTCAATGCTTAGGCATATCTCAGACCAATTAAATGAGAATTTTAGGGGTGTAATTCAGATATCAGTATTTTTAAATTCTCTCTAGATAATTTTAATCTATAAACAAGATGGAGAACCACTGACTTCAGCATAGTGTTGTTAGACAACTGGTTACTTGACATAGTGACATAAACTACAGTACCCTGGATTCAGTTGAGTTTGTGACTTTTCTTTGAGATGTTCAAAATCCACTTCTCTTTCTCAGCCCCTCTTAATGCTAAACTACTTGATTTGCCTACATTTCAGAGCTGAACTCAACTTTTAATCTCCTATAACCATGAGGAAATCAGTTAATTGAGATTTGTTTGGATAGATGCTTAGGATTCAGCAGGTGTAATGGTTAGGGTCAACTATTCTTTGAGGGAATTCCACCAAATGGGACAGTTTCTTATGACTTTCCGAAAAGGCCTTAAGATTGTTTCACAACAATTAATGATAACTGAGAACCTGTGCATAACTAGTACCTCATAATGTCCTCAGAGTGTTTCAATTTTGCTGATATGATTTAATATTGGGCCAGTTTCTCTGGATGGAGTCACTTTAAAAAGAGAAAAGAAACAAGCAACAGTTTTATTGGGCTGGAACATTCTGAGACATTCCTGAAGAGTCAGGACAATTTCTGGGCTTCCTTATAGGACTCAGATCCTCAGTGCGTGGATGAGATTCCAAATCCTGTAGGTTCAGTCAACATTGATCTAAACCTTTGGGAAACACCCTTTGGATGTAACTGTGCCACAGAGTTTGAAGAACTATAAAGTTTGGGGCTGTTTAAAATTTCTTAGTCTCTCATTGAGAGGAGTGACCAGCTACATAACTTTATCCTAACCTCAAACTTGAAATGTACAGCTATTTATTTATTTATTTGCAGTGCTGAGGATTGAACCCAGGGCCTTGCACATGCTAGACAAGCATTCTACCATCAGACTACATCCCCAGTCCCAGCTATTTATTTTTTTCTCATGTTTTCACCGCCATTGTTCTCACCTAAGGGTAGCTGGTAGGGAGGGGATGCCTGAGCTCTGGGCAAGTGGTATTATCTCTTGTTCTTATTTCTCTGCTGCTTTTCTTGTTCTCTTGGATTAGGACGAACATGGTTTTATCTCCAGGGAGTTCCACAGGAAATACCGGATTCCCGCTGATGTGGACCCTCTTAGCATTACTTCATCCCTGTCATCTGATGGGGTCCTCACTGTGAATGGACCAAGGAAACAGGCCTCTGGCCCTGAGCGCACCATTCCCATCACCCGTGAAGAGAAGCCTGCGGTCACTGCAGCCCCCAAGAAGTAGATGCCCTTTCTCTAAATGCATTTTTTAAAACAGGAAACTTTCCCCACCAGTGAATGAAAATGTTGTGACTACTGCTGAAGCTTATTAATGCTAAGGGCAGGCCCAAATTATTAAGCTAATAAAATACTATTCAGCAACAGAAAACTGAGTTTGATTGTTCAGTAGGTTTCCTAAAAATGACAAACACAGCAGATCACTTGAGTCATCACGTTATGATTCAGGGGGCTTCGGGGATTTGAAGTTGGAACAACTGTCCCCACCATCTTTTTTTTTTTTGTGTGGTACAGGGGTTTGAACTTAGGGTTGACAACTTTGAGCCGCTCTGCCAGTCCTTTTTTTTTGTGATGAGTTTTTTTTGAGATAGGGTCTTGTGAACTATTTGCCTGGGCTGGCTTTGAACTATGATCCTCCTGATCTCTGCCTTTTGAGTAGCTAGGAATACAGGTGCCACCAGTGTCTGGCCTCCACCATTTATTAATGGTATAAATTTAGGCAAGCTGCTTAATCTTTCCCATCTTCAGGTTGTCCGTTTATAACATGGGATATTGGTTTGTACAGAGTTGTAAGGAGTAAATTAAAGAGAAAAAGTAAATCAAGCCCCTGGCAGAGTTCAAGGAATATCAGTCCCTTCTTCTCTTTCCTCTTTTGACTTTGGCTCTCAGTTTCAATAGCTGGAACAAATCTAAATGAGCTCTGGGTACCTCCACATAAAAGGCCTTAGTGCATCTCTGAAATTACATTGCCAGTAACCCCAGTGTCATTTGACATTATCCTATTGATAAGCATTGTCTTGAGCTGATTCACAAGGACAATAAATGGGTCTTGAGTGATTATCACCAATCAAGCCTCTCAGGTATTGTCCAATTTGGAAATATCCACTGCAAGAACCTACCACAAAAAAGTTAAGTTTTGTAATTTCAAGTACTGATCTATAAGTGATTTTATTATTTACCTTAAGCAAAGAAATACTACTCTATAACCCC